TTGCTGATCTGTTTCTGATTAATAAAAACTTGGCACGCTTTACTAACAAGACAACAGAACATTACTGATTGAGGCTGATTCACCTCTGAAGGCATCTGGATTACTGGCAAATAGAAAAGTTTAAGAGAAGGAATAGATTTAAAAGGAAGATGGATGAAGGAAGATGTATGTTTGTTGACCAGAATTAGCACTCTTCTTTCAACACCAGCTCAACCTTCCGGTACACTTAAGGACGTGCAGAGACTTCGTTACCTTAGATGGGGGGATACCTCCACTCCGGAACAGAAGTCCATTAGTACGATCCCTTTACAGCATCTCCGGTTAAAGAGGCTGATCATCGTCAGAAGTCGTGTGGTTTACTCTGTTCAACAGAACAAGCTTCCTTCGAAGTTGTAGGGCGTTACGCCCGGGTGAGTTCACAGCGAGGCGCTGTGACTCCGCTGGGATGGACGGACCCTCGTCTCACGGTCAAATCCATCAGCTATTGATTAAATCTGAAAGTTCCTTAGGAACTCTCAGTAAGACTCCAGTCAGAGATTCCACTCAGAAGTAGAAGACTCCATAGTCCCAAGAAAGACTCAGGAAAACTGCAGGAAGACCGCCAGAAGACTGAATAGTCCCAGGAAGTGTTGACTTTTTAAAAAGTACTCACTTCCTGTCAATCCGTACTTCCTGATTGGTTGAAACAACCAGCAGGGGGGTGGTTCTAGTGATGTCAGAGGGTTATTAGGAGTCAAAAAGACAGCAGGAATGTTTACGAACGGTTAGAACCGACAGAGGAATGTTATGGCGAAGTGAGACAAACGCAGATGCCAGTTGAAGTTATTTACTGTCTGCTAGTTTTAAAATCAAGACACTTCGTTCTAATAACTCATCTCTGTCTGTCTCTGGCTTTTGACCGACATCCCTACTCCTCATTCAGACAGAAGATCAAAATGCACAATTACTTTGTAAATAGACATTTAACTTGATTTCGAAGTCTAATGAGGTTTAAAATCATTAATACTGTTTCACAGTTGATTTAAAATGAGTGCTTCACTTCCACATTTAGAATTGGTATGAACTAAACAGACTTTGATTATCAAGATATTCTAAAATAGTAATGATAATGAAAAAAAAGAAGTGTTCTTTCAATTGATTAATTCAGGATACAATCAAATAGTCTCTTGATGAGATAATTTGTATTTCTGGATTCAGATCAATGAAATAACAGTTCCTGTCCCCTGAAGGTCTTCAGAGACAGGTTGAGAACGGAGGCCTAGTTCGCTACAGAGTCGCCCACTAGAGGTTTGGAGGGTGAAGTGTTTCAGTGTAAAATGCTGCTCTGTTGTTGTTCATTTCTTAAGTGAGAAGACTGGAAACTGTTAAGAGTTAACAACAATTTTTTTTGTTTAAAACTACATTTGATATCTTTTGCACTGTTTTGCACTACAAGAAAGAAGCCTAATACTTGATTTGTTTATTTAAAAACTCTCTGGACCTAGTAGTGGAATTTTCTTAATTCAAAATATATGATGGCAAAAGGACACCCTATGCTTTTTTTTTAGCAAGTTTTATACCAAAAACATATTGCGATATATATCGTTATCGCCAACCTTCACAATACATATTGTGATATGAATTTTATGCCATATCGCACATTCCTACTACCCAGACATTTTCAACCCCATCAGGAATTTACATCCATGTCACCAGAGTGTCTCGACTGTGAACAAAGACCTATTGTGACGATTGATATCTGTACATGTATCTAGCTTGTTCACAGTGGGAGCTGCAGTAGCATGCAGTTTTACACAGCAGGAGGAGGGGGGAGTGGGTGAGGGGTCGTGTGAATGCGCAGACTGGGAGAAAAACTGGCGGCTTTTCAAGTATAGTTATAACTACGTAGAGTATGAGACCATATTGTTTTATATCGATATAGTCTCATTTTATATCGCATATGAAATTATCTCTATATTTAAAAAATATTGAGATATCGCTAGGCCTGTCGCGATAAACAATAAATCAATTAATCGTATGATGAATGAAAATTATCCACCTCGTTTTTATTTATTGGCTTTATAGTTTCTTCTGGTCTCTACTGAAGACACTGGATGACAAAAGGCTCAACTCTGGTGTTCTTCACTGACCCCTCCCTTTCTCTTGACAATCTGTTTTAACCGTCCAAAATCGTGTTTTTGTATCGTTAAAAGCAGCTTAGCTGAGAAGCTAAGCTATGACCTAAGCTAACAGGCCGACGTCAGGAATAAACCTCCGTCTTGTTCAATCTCCAAAATTCACAGTTGAAATCCGTGTCTTCGTGTAAAAACTTGTTTTTCTCTGCAAAAAGAA